GTCTGCGCGTCTACTCGGACCTGCACGCCTTCTACTACTCGTGGTACGGGAGCCCGCGGCGCGAGGGCCACTACATTCACTGGGACCACGTCATGGTGCCGCACTGGGACCCCAAGATCTCGGCCAGCTACCCCCGCGGCCGCCATAGCCCCCCCGACGACTTGGGCTCCAGCTTCTACCCGGAGCTAGGGCCCTACAGCTCCCGGGACCCCGACGTGCTGCGGGAGCACATGACCCAGCTCAAGGAAGCCGCCATCGGTGAGTTCCCCCCACCCCCCGGCGGCCCTGTCTCCCAGCCTCGCCCTTCTTCGTTCCCACCCGAACTCCCGCTGGTCCTGTCACTGGAGCTTTGGTCCCACTCACCCTTCGGCCTGGCTTCTTACCCCTTCCCTTCTACTCTCATTCTGCGCCCACCACTAGGCACCGCCCCCACTTTCTAGTATTCAGACTCCCGCACCTCTGCCTTCTGACTCCTCACAATTCCAGGGCCCTTTCATAGGGCGGAGCTGCTGGGAGGCCCAGTGGAAGGCGTTTGTGCCAGAGCTGTCCCAGCTAGGGACAGCGAGGAGAGGGAGGCAGTCTTCATGTCTGTTGGGCTTCTAGGTTTGGGTAAGTGAGGCCTGGGTATCCTGGCCCCGCAGGACGCTGACATTCAGAGAAGTAGCGCCTGGGGTGGCCTCTGCTTTCACACCAGGTACAGAGTAGAGCGGCAGCTCTTTTTGCTTTTGCTGGCTGCAGAAAGGAAAGTTTGCCCACGTTGCATGACAGACCCTGCTTTGTTTGCAGTAGGGGGTCCAGGAGCTTTTCTTCAAGTACTCTGCTTGAAAAGAGGTCCCTGGGAGCCTCCTTTGTAGGCAGGCTGGGGTGGGGAGGCTTACTTGTTTCAGATTTTGTCACTGAATTCTGCTGGATTTTACAGTACATTTCAGTTTATCTGGAAATGGCTAGTGAGTGGGGGAAAAATGGAATGCCAGAGACAATGGTGGGAAGTATTCACAGATAAATAACACAGAGGCGATCCCTCAGGATTTACAGTGTAGAGGGCAGACAGTGGAGACAAATGTCATTTCCCACGGAAAGCATAAGATGATCTCTGCTCAGGGTTCTCCTCCCTGCCGGACCTCAGAGGTGCTCCTCTCCTCCAGAGATAGGACTGTGGCTTCCAGGTGGGTGTGGCATTGTCCACCCATTTCGCTTTGTTCTACTACTTGCTAATGGAAGCAGAGCCTGCCTCCTACCCGGGCTTCTCTCAGGCTCCTTCCCAGTGCTGCTGCGCTTCAGCACCGCGGGCGTGGACAGCTCCGGGGCGCGAGGCTCTGGGATCTGATCTGCAGGAAGCGAACCTGGCGGGAGCAAACCATTTCGCAGGTGGGGATAGTTTGTGAGGAAACAAATCTCTGTTGTGGGGGTACTGTGTCTCTGAAGTAGCCTCTGTGTTGTGTCTCAGGCGTCCTGGTCCTGTCCTGGTACCCACCTGGCATGGCTGATGATAATGGGGAACCCTCAGATGACCTGGTGCCAGCCATTCTGGACACCGCCCATCAGTACAACATCCAGGTGAGTCTCCAAGAAGAGGTGAGGTGCTCTCTGGCCCATTCTGGAGACTTCCCCTCCTCTGCCCGCAGGGATAGTGCCTCTACCAAAGTTCTTGGCGTTAGCCCAGGTACGGCAAGTGTGGTGTTGGGGATGGGGTTCTAATAAATAGTGCCTATGTCACTTTTATTTTCTTGAATTCTGAAAGAAATATTGGGAAAACTAATATAGGAGAAATGGGAGACTAAATAAATATCACGATGATAGAGGTTAGGTTGGAGACCCTGACCCTGGGTAGAAGGCCGGCAAGGGCAGAATGGGCCCACAAACTGAACTGCAGCCTCAGCTCCCTAGTGGGAGGCAGTGCTGGGCCTCCAGGAGTAGAGCACAACGTGTGTTCTGGGCAGGCAGGCTCACTTTCAGGAGGAAAGATGGAGCTGAACTAAGCATGTCCAGTTATTTCCCCAAATGTACCAATCAAATAAGTCATTCCCCTCTCTTGTGGCAAAGGAAGAAAAATGACAGAGAGGAGCCCTGCTCCTGTTCCTGAGCCATCACGTTTCACAGATCAGAGCACATTTTCCCATCGCCACAGCTTCAGTATACTTTTCCCCATGGTTTCAGGCAGCTAGTGCCAGTACACTGGAGCTGACACATAAGCTGAAACCTATTAGCCATCCTGCAACAGCCCATCAGAACGATTCCCAGATGCCCTGCTGTGGGAGTTGGGCAAACTCCTTGCCCCTCTTTTTTTGGCCCTGAGGGCAGTGGCTGCTTTTATCACTATTGTGCCCACCATTGCCAAGCCCTCTCCTGAACTCAGCCTCTCTTCCAGGCTATCATTGGAGCATGAGCCTTATAGGTTGTGGCCCCTGTGGCCCCTGTGATCCAGGCCCCTGTGACAGATCCTCACCTGACCAGTATCTCCTCTGTTTGTGGCAGGTGGCCTTCCACATCCAGCCCTACAAGGGCCGGGATGACATCACTCTGCATGACAACATCAAGTACATCATTGACACGTAAGGCTGCTCTGGGGCCTGGATTTTGGTGGGGGTCAAAATGGGGGTAGAAGGTTTAGAGGGGCACGTGAAGAGACACAAGGGCTGAATGCCTGTGTCCCAAGCAGTTATTTTATAGTAAGGGAGTACTGGGTTTGGAGTCGGCAGCCTGGGTTTGATTCTGGTTCTGCAGCCTCCAATCTGTGATCAGAGGCAAGCCTCTTAACCTTTGGGTCTTATGAGTTACATGAGTTAATATATTTGAAAGTGGCTTGTAAAGTGCTTGCACGTATCATTCATTCATTCAAAAAAATATTTAGTGAGTGCTTTCAGGTGTCCAGGCACTGTCCTAAGCCCTAGTTGCACGGTAATGGGTAGGACTAGCAAAGTTTACATTCTAGTGTGTGTTGGGGGTGCAGTGGAGCAGACAGTAGTTACAAAAAATCAAATAGTGATCTATACTATGAAAAAGTAATAATAAAGAATTGAGTGTTGTGTTAGAGTGTGCCCAAGAAACTACATTAGAATGGGTGGGCAAGTGAGCTTCTCTGAGGAGATGACATGTGAGCTAACACCTGAATGAAGAGTCCGCTCTGCGAAGAGCTGGGGCTGTAAGATCCAAAGGCCATATGATGGGACAAGCTTCACAGCAAAATAGAAAGGCCAGTGCAGCCGGAGTAGGAGACAGGTAGGGTGACAGCAGGAATGGAGGCAGGCAGGGCCAGATCAAGTAGGTGGGGCCTTGCAGGTCTTGGTAAGGAGTGATCAGATCTGATTTACACTTTAAAAAGACAATGGATTATAGGGAGGCAGGACTAGGAGCCTGGAGACCAGTTACGTGCCTCTTGCTGCAGTCCAGATGAAAGATCGCGGTGGCTTGGCCTAGGGCAGAAAAGTGAGGCTTGAATAAAGGAACAACAAGGCTGGGGAGGGGAGGGAGAGAACTAGGTTCTTGCTTAGAGGCACAATGAATCCAACTGCAGGGACTGGCTGGATCCAAAATTGTGCTTGGGCATCAGGAAAGATCTCATCCATGGCTGGTCTTACAGCTGTGCTGGCCTCTCCCATCTTAGGCTGCCAGCTCAGGCTCTTCTTCCTCCCGCTCCTCAGGTATGGCTCCCATGGTGCATTTTACCGCTATAAGAACAGCATGGGCAAGAGCCTCCCACTCTTTTATATCTACGACTCATACCTGACATCCCCTGAGGCCTGGGCCCACCTCCTGACACCAAACGGGCCCCACTCAATCCGCAACACCCCCTATGATGGGGTCTTCATCGCACTGTTGGTGGAGGAGGGCCACACCCACGACATCCTGGCTGCCGGATTCGATGGCATGTACACCTACTTTGCCTCCAATGGTTTCTCCTTTGGCTCCTCCCATCAGAACTGGAAAGCTGTGAAGAACTTTTGTGATGCCAACAACCTCATGTTCATCCCCAGCGTGGGGCCTGGCTATATTGACACCAGCATCCGGCCCTGGAACAACCACAATACGAGGAACAGGGTCAATGGCAAGTACTATGAGACGGCCCTGCAGGCAGCCCTGACGGTGAGGCCCGAGATCGTCTCCATCACCTCTTTCAATGAGTGGCATGAGGGCACCCAGATTGAGAAGGCCATCCCCAAGAAGACACCAACTCGTCTGTATTTGGACTACCTGCCTCATCAGCCCAGCCTGTACCTGGAGCTGACTCGCCGCTGGGCGGAGCACTTCATCAAAGAGAAGGAGCAGTGGCTGATGTGAGGGGTCTGCAAACAGGGACACGAGGTGCTGATGTCCCAGCCTCACTGGAAGATGTCACCACATGGGGCTCAGCTGAGGTTGAGGCACTCGCTCGTCTCCAAGTCAGCAGCTGGGTGCTTCTGGGTGGGCCATCAAGCCTAGGCCCGTGTAGAACAGGGCCTGCTCCTCAGGCAAGTGGTGCTGGGGTACTCTGCAAGTGACAGGAAACTAGGCGGTGTTCCAGAGAGGGAACCATAGAGGCTGGCAGGTGACTGGACCTAGCCCAGGGCAGCTCCACATCCTCAGTCAGAACACTTGAAAACGATCCCTTTTAGCTTTGAATTCGGCAGGTGGTGTGTAGTGGAGTCGCTGAGTCACTGCTCTCAGAAGGGTGTCAGGGTTCTGGGCTAGCATGCACCCTCTCCCTTCTGTCAGCCTGTGTCATCTCTTTAGGCCTCCTTCCCACATCATCTGTCTTCTCCACATTAGGGAACCATATTTGAGACTTTCTAAAAGGGAAATTCTCTTCCCAGTAGATTCCTGAACCCAATTATCATGAAGTAATCCTGAGCATTCACACAGTTACTCAACACACACTAACTGAGCACTACTCTGTGCTGGGTGCTGGAGGAACACTTGACCAGGACTGGTTCCTGTCTTCCTGACGCTTACAGGATCCAGCTTTCCTTATTTGGTGTGGCCTTGTAGCTAGGGCCTGAGCACAGCTATGTTTTTCCTTTGTGCAGTTTTTCCCAGTGCTGGAAACTCAGTTCTTTTTCCTCTAAGAAAATACCTCTGTGCTGCAGAGCCTACCTTTTCCCCGATTGAACATTTAGCTCCAGGGAGAGGACCAGGACATCCCCCTCCCTGTTGCCACCTGAACTGAATGAGGCCCACTCACTAGAGCCATTTTCAGTGCTACTGTGACTTGTGTTAATTAGGACGTGGTATTCTGAAGTAAGCATTCCTTTTGCTTAGTTCACCAGTTCTTACCCGTCAGTCAGATTCTGTGACAAACTGACAATGTGGGATGGGCTGGCTACTGTGTTTGTTAGCACAATGAAGAGTGAGTTTGCTTAAGAAATTAGTAGTTTAAACAAGATTTCTAGAGGGAATAGTTAACAAACCAGTGCTTATTTACAAATAAACTAATATGCTAATTGCAGGGACCTTCAAAGCAGGCCCTGGGACACCTTCATGGCAAGATGCTTAGGATCTACTTGAAAACACCTGCAGTGGAAACCACCATATTGTGAAGTTTATGGGCTCAAGACTGAATCCCAATTCTGAGAACTGGGGTGCAGGGAGGGAGTGGGGGAAGCAAGCCCCACTTGTTACCACAGGGCCCCAGCGCATTATGTAACCGATATGAAACCCCACTGATGGATGGGGCAGGCCTCGTGGCCTGGCTTGTGACTTAGTTGGGGAAACCTAGGCAGGCAGAGACAGGTGAAAAGGGTTGGATGGTGACCTGCAGTAATTTACAGAAGGGAGCAACAATGAGGCTTCATTTAACATATATACAATTTGAAAAACATTACGAGTATGGCAAGGCCAGGGGCAGGGGCAGCAATTCTCACACGTTGCTGATGGCAAATGCAACTTGGTTCAGTTCTTTTGAAGGCTAATCTGTATCAAAAGCCATAAAATGTTCATACACTTTGGCCCAGTAATCCTACCCTAAAGAAAGAATTCAAAAGAAGAAAAATAAACCATTTACAAAGATGTTTAATAGCAGCATTATTTTCTATTAAAGAAAAACAAAGTTCAAATGCCCAACAATAATTATGTTTAACACTTGGTATACATATGAACAAAGATAAAGGCTGCTGAGAAGACACTATATTTAAATAATGGTGTTATAGGTATAATTCACTATAATTTATTTTATGAATAAATAAGAAAAAAGTCTCTGGCTGAAACAGGTAGTAGAGATCTGTTTTCCAATATTCTTTAATTTGGACCCCCTACCCCCACCCCTTGCCAACTGAGCTGACTTCCCACCATTAGACCACAATGACGCCTCTCTCTGCCAGGCGATTACGGCACACCACACCGCCAACCCCCTGGGTTCAGAGGAAATAGTGTTTGGCCTGTGGCTCAACAATCTTTATCCTCACCTGGTTCCAGCTTCAGGAGCACAAACTCACGCCTTTGGTCACTTGAGACTTTTAAACAGCACCAGCTGGTGCTCTGGCTGATTTGGACCTTAAATGCCACCACCCACCAGAGAGGAAGCTCTCATTACATTCCAAATCTGTTATTTAAATTACTTTCCCAAAATTAAAAAAAAGAGAAAGAGAAGAAACTTATCAGAACAAGGCCATCCTAGGAATGTTCTTAAAAGTCTCTATTCAGCTTTTGGCTGATGGGTGAAATTACAGATAATAAATATAACCTCCCCCACCAGGTGTGAGGCTAAACCAGCAGCTCCTGGGACCTGGTCTACAGTGTTCAGAAAGACACTGCCTTAAAGGGTCGGACTAGTGACGGTGCAGCCCCAGTGGCCTCTGCAAATGAGGCCTTGCCAGCCACCAGCAGACAGACACACAGTGTCCAGCACCAGTCCTTAGGCCCTCCCCCCTCCCAAGTTTCACAAGCAGGATCCACGTGAAGGGAGCAACCCGTACTTCTGTTGGAGGATGGCCGTAGTACTTTCCAGGGCACTGAGGAGGAAATGGAGGACAGTTAGAGTTTGACTTCTCAAAGGCTTGAGCCCACCCAAGTCTGGTGACCAGAGACCTCTAAACTCTTGGTTTTACTATGCTCTGTTCATCAAACCCTTGATGAATCCTTTTGAATCCTGAAAAAGCCAGCAAATATCAGCAAACTCAGTCCCACTCCATCTACCACTTCTCCAAACCTGCCCAGCCGCCTCAGGGCAAGATAGGAGTGACCACCTTTATTTTGTCAAGGCTTTCTTTGCATCTCCCAACCTCCCTCAAATTCTATCCCCAGGCCACAGGAAAGGGACTCACCAGCCTGGACGAATGATGCCAAACTTTCCAGGCACAGACAAGTCAACCACAGTTGAGCCTAGGCGATACTCAGGGCTCCGGCCATCCCCTATTGGTCCCCCATCAATGACCAGGGACAACTGAGGCCAGAGGTCCTGGAACTCCTGAGAAGAGGGAGAGGAAGAGCATGGACTCTACTTCTGGCAGCTGCAATGTCACACTGCATCACTACATGCAGGATTTCTAAGTAAGACAAAGGCCACATGGTTCTAAAACAGGACGCATCTTCCTCTAAGCAGGGGAAGGAACCTCATTTGTTAAGGTCAGCTGTGCCAAGGACACTGCATTCGCTCCTAAGACACTGCATCCTATGAGGTTTGCAGCCACCCCAGGTTAGCACCCCAAGTAACATCTATCTTAGAGCTTAAAGACAATCTTCCTGTGCCAAGAAGAAATTCCCCACACTGCTTGTTGGGGAGGAATAAGTACAATGACTGGAGTCCCAGGTGGGAGTCAAAAGATGTGGGATCTACCCGGGACTTCCCACCAAATCTTTGTGTGACAGCATGCAAGTTACTTTAGCCAGGGCTGTAAAATAGGGGGCTGGACGAGATGGCCACCAAAGGTCCTTCCAGCTCTAGCACTGTGATCCTGGATGTCAGAGGAACTCTGATCAGGGTAGGGAGAGCAAGAGGCTGGCCTCAGCAAGTGCATGCCACCAGCACTCAATCCTTGGGCTATGGGAAGGATACTCCCTCCAGAACTGTGGATTGAACTGTGAACTGAGCTAGAGGGTCACTCCCGCCCCCATGAGGACAATGCAGTGGCAGTTAGGCCTGGGAATCTGGGATGGCGGGTCGTAAATACCAGTTATGGTGTTGGACAGGGCAACTGCTTGCTGAAAAGTACAAAGAAACCTCCCTCCCCCACCCTAGCATCCCCTTGCCCACGGCCTCAGGTGTAGCCACCAGGACCGAGAAAACCCCGCAGTCTGAGAATAAGAAGGGGTGCTGAGCTCTCACTTCCCAGGGCCCTGAACCCACTCTCTAGGTCTGGGCATGGAAAACTCCATCACTTTACTATGAACTATTTAAGTTCAGTAAGAAAAAAATGTGTGGTAAGTTAAATTCCTTTGTGTCCTCGTTCGTTCTAAGCTATGCAGCCAAGACAGGATTAGGACGATTGTTTCTTTGACCTGGCTTGTGGCAGAGGTAAGAGAACAGGGTCAGGAGTCCCTGGAACAACTGAATGAACTTTTTGGAGCCTTAATTTTCTGTACAGCACTGTTATAAAGACTTATCGCCTAACTGTATTCTCCAACAACTGCTACCCCCCCAAAAAGGGAAAAAATGATTGTATTTATCACAATGTTTCTTATTATTAAAAAGTTAATAAGAAGAAAACATCAATTTTCCCCCTCGCCTCTCAAACTTTGTAATGAAACCTTTCTGAGATTCTTTAATTTGGATTCTTTCCACCCCACCTCTCCCAACCCCCTGACAATGAGGCAGAACTTCCCATCATTAGACCGAAAGGGTGACTCTCCTGCTAGGCAATTCCAGCACACCATCAACCCCACAGGTTCAGAGGAAACTGTTTGGCCTGGTGACACTTCTGGGGGGAGGACTCTCACCTCGACATTCAGAGAACTGGCCTGGGAGCTGAGGTTGGCGCTGGTGAGAGCAAGTGGTCCCCCGAACACCTGGGCCAGGTCCTGCATGAAGGCGTGGTCAGGAATCCGGATGCCTACAAGCTATGAGGCAAGGAGAAAGGGGCACCATCAGAAAGGCTGGGAGGGGTGGGGGTTGGGTGTGGCCTGGATCCTACTGAAAGTCAAATGGCAGGAGTCTGGGTACACGAGAAAATCTGACTCACAGGAGTGAAGGGGTTCAGGTCTTTGTTGAGCTCCTCCGAGCGTTCCATCACCAGGGTGACTGGGCCTGGTAACAGGTCTTTCAGGAGCCCCTCGGGTACTCTCACATGGCAGTACCTGGAAACAAAGAGGTACAAACCCATCCACGAATGAAGGGCCACTGCTGGTCCTATTCCAGACCTTAGGTAAACACAGAAAAGGGGTTCCTAAGGCCTACAGTGGGATCCGTCCTTCCTCCCACATCATCTCCCTAAAGAGCTTGAGCAGAAGGTATGGCTCCAAAGGAACACGCCAGGTTTGGAGCCCACTTGCTCCTGGTCTTCGAGGCTACAACAGCTGCACCGCTTTCATGCTCCGTGTCATATTTTCTTCAAGGAACCCCCCATTAAATTAAGCTACAGAGTTTATTGGTTTCCTTTTTTTTTTTTTTTCTTTTTACCGCGGGAGCCCCCCCGTTATCACAAAAGCGCCAAAAGAATAGGGACCCTGCCTGACTCGTTCATCGCTGCGCCCCTGCCATCTCGTTCAGGGCTGGCAGACGCTAAGCGCTCAATACACGTTTCCAGTTCCGGATTCCCGGGTGAGCATGGAGAAGCCCCTCCCGCGCTCTGCGCCTCAGTCTCCCAAGCCTGTCACCGGAAGCCCCTCCCGCGGTGCCGCCCCCAGCGGGGCCGGGTCGGGGCGGCCTCACCTGTAGACGTCGGCCACGCGGCCCAGGCATACGGCCAGCGGCTTGGCCTCGCAGCGGCCCTTGAGGCGGTACACGGCGCCCAGCGCCGCCGAGCAGCTCGCCGAGCAGGCCAGGCCATACAGCGTGTCGGTGGGGACAGCCACCACGGCGCCGGCGCGCAGTTCGGCCACGGCGGCCCGCAGCGCCTCGGTCCAGGCGGCGCGCTCCGGACTTGCGGCCCGCACGGCCCCGCTCCCCGGGAGCCGCAACAGCCGGGCTCCCGGCGCGGCCGGAGGGGGGCTCGGCGGGCGGAGGAGGCGGCCGCTCCGGGCGGAGCCCGCCGGCCCCTCGCTCAATCCCACGCTGGCAGCCACCGCAGCCCTCAGCCCCCTGCACGGGCGCGCCGGAGACATCCGCCCAGTCCCGCTTCCGGGAGGAAGTGACGTAAACAGTCAGCTTCCGGTCCGGGAGGCTTGGCCCCACCTCCGCGCCGGGCAACTTAAAGGGACCGCGACCCCCAGGAGGATTGAAGGAGACCGGTGGGGACGGGGCGGGGCGCAGCTTTGCAGAGCCTTAGCGCAGCGCTGGGGAGGGGGGGCGGCCGAAAAGGGGGAGGTGGTCGGGCCGCGCAGGCGGAGATGGAATGGGGCCCGGGCTCAGACTGGTCACGGGGGTGAGAGGGGGCCCGTCGGGGCGCGGGGAAGGGGCTGGGACCCCGCGCAAGCGCCGGCCCTGACCGTCTGCCTCTCGCTCTCTCCCGGACAGGGAGGCTGCCGGCGTGGACCGTGGGAAGGCGGGGCTGGGGCTCGGCGGGAGGCCACCCCCGCAGCCGCCCCGGGATGAGCGCGCCCAGCAGCTGCTGGACGCGGTGGAGCAGCGGCAGCGGCAGCTCCTGGACACCATCGCCGCCTGCGAGGAGATGCTGCGGCAGCTGGGCCGCCGGCGCCCGGAGCCGGCTGGTATCGGGGTCAGTGGCCACCCCGGGCTGGGCCTGGGAGGTGGGGACTGCCCACTGGCTGGACTTGCTAAGCCCTAGCTTTCCCTGGAGGGTGGAAGAGTGTCCCCACCGCTTTACCTCTCCCCCCTTTTCATCTGGGCGAGAGGCTTTGAAAAAGTTAGGTGCTATCCAAATGCCAAGTGGCCATATCCTTGCTGGGCCTAATCTAAGGCCTTTCCTGCCAGCCTCACTTTTTTCCTTTCTGTTCTAACCAGAATGTCTCAGCCAAACCTGGAGCGCCCCCTCAGCCAGCTGTCTCCGCCAGAGGTGGCTTCTCAAAGGATGCTGGTGATGGAGCTGCGGAGCCCTGACCATCCCCGAGCCGGGCGCCTGACTTCTCTCCCTCCCCGGGGCTGGTGGCTGGACTCTGAACAACTCCCTTCAGTAAAGGGGCCAGTCTTCACTGGCAGTGGCTGGCTCTTGGCTCTCAGCCTGGGGTGGCAGCTCTGCTAGCAGCTGGGTTCACTCCCACTTCATCCTGGCTGAAAGCAGTGCTGAGTTTTGAAATGTAGCCAATGAATACCCAGTCTGATGACCCGGATTTGGGCAGACCAGCAGTGCTCGCCAGAGTGGTCTGGCCTGTTTTGGGGGATCCAGGTGGTGTTACATGTCCATTTCATGCTTTGGGGGCTCCCAGCCCCACAAAACACTTTTAGCAGAGCCTTGATTAAAAGGAAACCTGCAGACTCTCCTGGTGACCGACCTTTCCTTTCTGTGCCCTAAGACTCTGATGGCTGGCGAGGGGGGAAATAGTTGAAAAACCATCAACCATGGGCAGGGTTGGGAAGAAATGCCACAGACACTACCAGATTTAAATAAGCATTTAATTAGGATTTCATTAGTATTTAATATTGCTTTTTCAATTCCAAAAAGTTAAATTTTCACTTCTTAGCAGATATTTTAAAGTACAATATTAAGTTTATACAAAATGAGCAATTAAGCAAACACCATTATTTCACATTCTTCAAAAATACAAATTCATATTTACTCTTTTTTGGGTTTGGAGGTTTCTTCCTTTGGAAGTACTGAACCTGTAACGTTTTCACATCGCTCAGTGGAAGTCCGTTGTTCCCATGTTTCAATCTTAAATAAATTGGATAGGCTTTTACATAATCCAAATAGAACTATTTGGGATTTAAAAAACTGACCAAGACCTCCAGCCAATGATAGTGTGTGAACAAAGAAGGCTCTCGTGGGTCTTGCCTTTCCTGGCCAGAAGATCTGAGCCAGAGATTCAGCAAAAACCTGTTTCCAGCCACCTTCCCCAAACAGGTACTAAGAAGAGTTCACAGGGAAAGGGAACAGCCACCTTGAACTCCAACCCTCACCCCACGTTCTCCGAAACACAACAAAAGATGTAGACTGTTGAGTCAAACAGTGCCCCCGGGAGGCCTGAGGACCCGGGAGAAGAGCAAGAGAGGCCTCTGACTTGGCACCACTAAGAGGATAACAAGGATATTGCAAAAAACACCCCTGGGTTTTGGTGAAAAAAGGTTTTATGAAAAGTTTTCCCATAACAAAGAGTAGAAACTGCATTGAGCTGAGAAAGTGACACTACATTATCACCCAATTTTTGGCCCAGCAGGCACACCACCAAAAGGGCAGTGTGTGGGTTTAAACTTTGCTTCCAGTAAAAAAGCTTGTACTATGTACACATTGACATAAAGATCCAGTTTAATTTGCATTTTTCAGTGCAGACTGAGAAGCCCTCTCTTGAACAGGAGTAACAGTGAGAAATGCCAGCTTCCCCGAAGGGCATGAGAAGAAACCCGGGACCCTTTCCCTCTCCCCCAAAAGTACTCAAGAAGAAACAGGCTGGACTACCAATCAGAAATATGCATAATTCGGTTTTGTTGGCCCCCCCATCCCCCAGTATTAAAGAATGGACAATTTCCAATCTATGTCACAGCAGAACCATTTGCATATTGGATCTATGGAAATCTTTCTGCTTTGGCTGAAGTATACTTTAAAAGTTCTCTTCTATTGTAGCCTGAGAATTGAAGATAAAATGGGGTGGGGGGAACAAGAGAGGAGTGAAGGGGAAGGAAGAAAGTTGATAAATCAGATTATTAACAGCTTTGTTCACTGGATTTAATGAAGCCTAGAGGCCTTTTTGCTTAAAGAGCCAAGGGGCTGGAATGGGGAGCAGTGTGGAAATGGCCCGTGTTGCCGCCCCCCACTACCAAGACCACCTCCCCAAACATATTTCTGATTGGTGGAAAAGTGTCAACTCTTTAGCAATATTGTTGCAGTTCCACAAATCAATGGTTTCAGTGACTCTGGAGAAGTCTTTAAGATTAAGGACAATGGACGTGATTACAAATATAAAAGTCTAGAAGGTGCCAGGTTTCTCCCTAGGAACAACCTGTTCCTTCCTTCAGGTATCACTTCGTAACGGTGAAGAGGGGAAAGATGGCAAGGGACTAAGAAGTGATGACAAAGGGCCTCAACAGTCAGCAGAAGAAAACAGGACCCGCAGAGTTCTTCAGAGAGCCTGAGGGGCGCCCTCGGGCACACAGGGAAGGCTTGCATAGATTGAGCAGTTGCTGAGAATGCATAATAGTGTTTCCCTATAGACAGCCTCACAGTACAGGGCTGATGAGCAGAAAAATGCGGCCAGACCTGGGCCACATGGGACAACGACTGTCAAGCTACACATATTGCACCAAGGTAAGTGCTTTTCTTTTCACACTGCAATTTAACTTTTTATTCTGAGCAAAAAATAAAACTTTGTGGAAAGTATATATGTATATATATACACAAAAGAAATTGCAGCAATTGGGTTAAAGATAAAATAACCTAAAGTGCTTTTTTACTTTATTATTTCTTTAATATACCAATATGAGGTTCTGCAAACTTGTCCCTCTGGACACATTCAGCATTATACAAAGTCTCTCAGGAAAACCCATCCTACCCTCCATTATCATTATCCCCGTCAGTCCACTGCCTTGACCCTGAAGGTAAAACTCTCCAATCTATTGACTCTCCAGAGGTGGTGAAGAAAAGTCCCTTGCTTCTACCCAGAGAGGTCTTCACACCTTAAGGCCCCTCCTGGGCTTTGTACCATGATCTCCTTCTAAAGGCGGGGAGGGGTGGAATTCAATAAATGACACCAACTCTTGTCACCAAACTAGTGATGCCCCCATGAAGTTGGCCAGACCCTGTCAGGAAAGGCAGGACCACTTTCCCTCAACGCCCCACCCACCTGCCTGGGAAGGGCCAAATTCACTAAGGCAGTTTGGCAGTGCCAGCCAAGGTTTCCTACCAGCTCCAAGCCCATGAACTCCAAATCCTGGTGCTGACCTGCACCCTGTAAAGGGGCAGCATAACTGGAGATGCTAGTGGGAGCTGGAAGTATAAATCTACAGGGTGAAAATGGTTAAGGTTACCATGGGAAGAAAAAAGGCTTGATGGCACCCGCTAGAAGTCTGCAGACCTTCCCTAACCTCACCCCAGGTTCATTCCTGGGTTTGGGAAACCATGCTCTCCATGAAGGCTCTTTCTGGCTCCAGTTAAGCCAGCGGCCCTCTCTTCTCCAAGGTCCTTGGTACTAGAGGCCAGACTTATAGAAGGAGATGGGGAGGGAAAGAGCACTGAAGGAGGAAGGTAAGGAAAGACTGCCGACCCTGTGGAACAGACCTGCTCTTCACAACTACTCACGAGCATTTTAAGCACATTCCTGATTTTTCAAAAGCTGATTGGATCCGACAGTCCCCCTTGTAATCTTGAGCCACCCTCAAAAGGTAGATACTTCAACTAGAAAAATCTGTCAGCCTGACACTCTTTTAAGATGCTTCATCACTCCCAATCTTTGGAGAGCGGAAAAGCCCCTAACCTGGGTGAGCCCAACACAAGCACAGCCCTGGCTAACCAGAAAGAAGCAATATTTAAACCACGGCCTTCCAATGGTCTTCCCTGGGCTCCTGTTTCCCACCTCAGCACCCAGGAACCGAATCCCAGGTGCACCTAGGATGGGTATGTGGGGAGGCCATTCCTGCCCTCACATGTATGCTAGCTTCTGGATCCCATCACACTGCTCTCTCTCAGAAGTTGGAGAGAAGACAGCAACGGTCCTACCTCAAAGCTCCCCATGGGTGCAGGCCCAGAGACAGCCAAGGACCACCCACGCTCAGCTGCTCATTTTCCAGGAAGACTAATCCACTGTGGTAACAGAAGATTCCTCGTGCCTTATCAACCTCTGCTGAGGTCAATGGTCACCAGAAGCCATCAGCCTTTTGGGGAAGGGAGTACAGAAGGTCAAAAAGAAATCAACTCTCCTGACTAGACTCCTGGAATGAGGAACCACCAGCTGCCTGTGGTTAAGCCCATTTCTCCACATGGCAGGAACATTTACCACCACCGCCCTCCTGTCCAAGTGTGTCCCAACATCCTGTCAAAGGCAGGGCCACGTGCTCCCAGGCAAACGATCTGCTCTGGGTACTGTCTTGGCTGGCCCTGAGGAATGGCTCAGAGAACTCGAGTGTGATAAACGCAGATCTCTTTACATTACGGAGTGGAAAAGGAAGGGAAGATTATGGCTGTTCTCTGCCTGACTGACATGGTTGACTCAGAAGAACAGCCTTGCTTGTGGAAGCTTGCTCCTCAAGGCCGGCAAGGGACTCTCGGGAGGCAGAGGCTAGTCTAGGCCCGGCCCATGCCTCTCTCTGAGCTCAGTGAGTTTGCTGAGCACTCATGACTACATTAATAGAGCCAGTTGAGAGAAACTTTCCATTTTAGTGTGGACTGGAGTTTATGTTTTATTTTAAGAGGCAATGACTTGGAGCCAAAGGCAGACAGATGGATATAATTCTATACACAAATCAAAAAGAAAATTTTTTTCCCCTATAACACAACTTAATGAAACATTCCAAATGAGATAACTTATTGCAACATTTCAGGCTTTTTGGTCGAAAGGGAATTTTTTGTTTTGTTTTACCCTGAGTAGAAGATCATCGTTTTGTGTTGTTTTTTTGTTTTTGTTTAGAAATCATATGACTAAGCTGAGCAAGTCACATCCTTCTTTGCACTGTACTAGGCTGTATGCAAAATCCAGAGAGGTGAGAGGCAGAGATGGGAGGGGGCAATCAAAAGCCTGCTGAACCTGGAACCAGCACACTTGGCCTGCCAATTACATGCACCTTAAAAAAAACTCCCTTAAAGCCGCACCTTCTCCTGAGAAGCAAAATGCAGCTCTCCTGCTCTGAGAAGGAAAATACCATTAAAGGAAGGCAGACCACCGACCAGCAGCTGGCCATAAGCCACATGTCCACTCTAGGACAAAACAGGGATGTTTCCCAAGAAAAATTCACCGCGATCTGCAAGCCCCAGCAACCAACTGAGAGAGAGAACCAGGAAGGCAAAGACTCTGATGATGCCGCTAGAGCCGGCTCTGCACACCTGCCATCCATAGACAGCAGTCAACAACTTGCCTCGGGCCCCTGCAGAACCCGAGCGTCCCCACAGGCTCGGGCCTGGCTTTCAGCTGCCCCTGTGTGCTGAAGCTGGCTGCAGGACGACCCCCGCCATAGCCCCCCTGAGCTCCACAACACCAAGCGCAAACAACAAAGCCATCTTACCCAATCCCTGTCTGGCTCACAGGGGTCTGACCTGCCTCTGCCACTTCCCTCTCTGATGGAGCGAGGGTCTGGCCTTCCAAGCAAGCTTCAGCCTCACACTCAAAAGACACACAGGGAGGAGCAACGCCCAACACACTGAACTCTACTGCCCAAACCACAAAGACCCCAGTGCAAGTGATGGGCAGCATCTGATTGATGGAAACCACACCCTTTCATTGAGAATTTTTATGCATACGAGTAACCTTAATTTCCAAGTTCACATGACAATAAGCAAAAGTGACATACAGTGCAGCCAAACAGTTCATTTATAACTTAGCTTTTTTTTTGTTTTGTTGTTTTTGTTTTTTTTTCCCCAAAGATCAGTTCCTTAAAATGGATGCTCCTGGGATATGAATAAAGAAAATACGTCTGAAAAATGAGGATTTCAAACAGTAGATTTCTTCATCCTTCCAACTGCTGACCCTATGCTGGTAGCATCGCACCTCACGCTTCCTGCGTGGCCTCTCTCTGCGGAGGTGAGCACACGCAGGCCTTTCACTTGGAGAAGCTGCCGGTCAGGCCCGTCTCCTCCTCCCCCTGCAGTAGTGCTTCAATGGGAATCAGATGGGACGGGGTGTCCAGGCTCTGGAGGGACAGAAACTCGGACATATCCATGGCACTTAACGTTTCTGTCTGAGGGTCTGAAGGAGTCTCTGCTGGTCTGCTTTGCTCACAGGAAGAAGGTATGGTGGAGGATGACGACAGAGGGACAGGCGGTGGGGAAAACGTCTGTGGCGGTAGCTTCGGGCCAGGCCCATCAGGAGGCTGGGGGCTTGGCTCTGGAGGGAGTGGGGAAGAACAGCCCTTTCTCCTGCTGGCCGCCCGCTCCTTGGCAGAGTCCCGGCACGCACACTGACACTGACATGCCTCCTCTTGTTTGATGATGATCACAGGAACACTGAGGCCAATCTGCTGTACCGAGCTCCCTGCGAGAGAGGCAAGAGAGACCGCTCTTCAAGTAGCCAGCCACAGGGCAGGGGCAGGAGGGGCGGGGGTTATGGACTAGGAGAGAGCTGAGTGCCATGGAGGAACGGTGGGAAGGGGTGGATGCCATGCTCTGGGCTTTGTTCTGCTTTAAAGTGGACCACGTTCCTCCTCAGGAGGCCTCTGACACTCCCCATCCCCTCCAAGACAAAGTCCCTCTTCCTTACAAAGCCACACACGCCGTCTAGATGCACCCTATATTTCCAGCCTTCTCCCGGGCACCCTCCATGCCAGCCACGGAGGACACCTCCCTTTTCCTGACACGTTCTTCACACCTCTGGGCCTGTGGGCTCTTCCTTCTGCCTAAACTCCTCAGACACCGGCTGTTCCTCTGGAGAGCTTACTCTTATCTCTCAAGACCTAGCTCCTGCCTCTCCTCTCCTGATGCCTCCAGGGAGTGTTTCCAGCAGGCTTATACCGAGAGCTGGGCTGAGGGCAGCTGGCACGTGAGCCTCCGGGCGCATGCACAGCTACTGTATTCCTTCCACACCTCTCTCCACGCTGTACAGGACGTGTTTAGTTCTGCCTGCCCAAGAGACTCTGAGCCCCTTTAGGACATCCCGCTCATCGTTATAGCCCGTCTCTGACACACAGTAGGTGTGGGTAAATCTCCTTTAACAAGCCAGCCTCGTGTGCACACACATTCTCTCTCTTTTGTTGTGTGTAGGAGTGTTGTGTATATGAAAACTCTGAATTCAGACAGGCTTTGTGTGTCTCAAAAATAGCTAGAGACCAAGGGGCAGGAGAACAGAGAAGGAGTCATGAGGCCTGAGGACTAGGGCTTTGGCTCTGCCACAAACTCACTTATGACTTTGGAGAGTCATTTAATCTTTCACAGCCCCAGTTTCTTAATCTATAAAATAAAGAGTTTGAAAAAAAGGATCTTTTAGCTCTATAAGAGTCTCTGGCCCAGATGCTATTTCTTCAATACTGTAATTAGAAAAGAGTCCGGTGAATTAACAGTTGCCCTCTTTAGCATTAACTGTGATTTGAACTTTTTTCTGGCTACATTTAAAAGCTATATCTGAAAGGGAAAGAACCATTACAGTAGTCTCTCCTGATCTGCAGTTTCGCTTTCGCGGTCTGCAAAGAGATGACCCTCCTTCCTCCTTCTGACGTGTCGTCACACTACATCCCAATGTCTACGTCATTCACCTCCCTGCCCCTCAACACATAGGCATTTGATCATCTCACATCATCACAAGAAGGAGGATGAGTACAATAAGATATTTTGAGAGAGACCACATTCACGTAACTTTTATTACCATATATTGTTATAATTGTTCTATTTTATTATTAGTTATTGTTGTTAATCTCTTACTGTGCCTAATATATAAATTAAACTTTATCATAGGTAATGTATGTGTAGGAAAACACATAGTATATATAGGGTTCAGTACTATCTGCAGTTTCAGACATCCACTGAGGGTCTTGGAACGTATTCCCCATGGCTAGGAGGGGACTACTGTAGTAGTTAAAGAATGTTAAATGTGGTCTTTATGCTATAAGTACACTAACTTCCCATAGTAGTAAGAATATGAAATACTCTAATAAATAAACAATACGATGTGACAAATTTAAAGTTTCAAAAACTGGGGCAAAGCAACAATTAACTGTGCCTCAAGGGGCCCAGAGAGTTGACTTGCTTCTAAAGCTAACGTAGAATTACATACCTGTGCTACTGGCTACTGGTACTGCAGTGGTAAAAAACACCTTCTCAACTTTAGATGATTGCTGCTGGGAAAAAACAGAAAAACATCACATTTATGGCCACAGTAACATGGCGGATCTCCCAGGACCGGAAGCCTCCCCAGTTATAATGGTCATCCAAGAGGACAGAAAACCCTCAGTGTTCAGGGATTTTTGCACTGAGTGATGTTTTGTTTGTGCTGACATGAGGTCTCCACACTGTTTGACATTCAGTGCTGACAACGTAGCCAGCTTTGTCCCCTACTACTTGGCTGTCTCCCAGCTGCCTAATGCAGGAGCTTTTGTGTGCCCAAAGGCTCCTACAAGGTTGCTTTTCTCAAGCTGATGGTCTTCTCGGAGGGAGCCCCAGGGCTGGCTTCCCCTCTAAGCTCTCCACCCCCTACCACCTCCCTATACTTCTGTGAGGCTGCAAAGTTCTTTTTTCCCCTCAAGGATTAAGCTGCATGCTAAGGACAGGCTAGGACTTCCTCTCACAGGCAGAACAGCCCTGTGAAGGCCCTGGGCAGTGTGCTATAAGCTGCACCAGGTAGTTGTTCAAGTGGGGGCCGTGAACTCAGCACACCTGGACTTGAGTCCAAGCTCTGCTGCATATTAGTTGTAGACGTCAGGAAACATGCTTTGACCTTGCAAAGTCTCAGCTTCCTCATCTGTAAAAATAGGGACGATAAGCAAAGAACCTTCAAAGGACCCCAGAGAGGGTGAAATGAGATGACGCACGCAGAGCCCTGGGCGCACAGTGAGCACTCAGCAAACATGAGCTATTAGTATTATGACTAAGTAGGACTGTAAAGTCATGCCCAGAAATCAGCCCTATCATTTTAGTGTACTTCCTATTAAACTGGCTACAAGCCTTCTGCTTTCTTCAAGTCTTATCTTAAAAGGGCTTTGTCTTTTATCCTTTTAAGGGAAAAAAAAAAGTCCCTCTAAGATGAGTCTAGGAGGAACTTGTGAAAGCTTCTGGCTAAGTTATAGGAGATGAGGCTATAAAATGAGGGAGAAATGAGACCCATATTTACATAAATGAAAATGAATTGCATGGAAAAGGAATGATACTTGTTCCACGCAGCTCCCCAGGGCAGATCCAGAAAAAAACGACAACTACATGGAGGCAGATTGGGTCACAACACTGGCAAGCCCTCTCCAGTGACTCTGGCCATCTGCAAATGGAACGAGGCTGCCTCCAGAGACGGTCGGCGCCCCATGTATGGAATGTGAGTGCTCTAACTATTTAGCTCACTATTTAGCCCAAAACCACCTTTCCAGTTTGTGTGATAGCGTCCTATATCCACCCAGACACTCCTAGTTAGTCCTTCCTCTTCTCCATCTAATTCTGACGCATACCTCGAGTCTCACCTGACCTGTATGGCCACCCAATAAGCACTTACTCTCTGAACCCCTCATCTGGCAGCACAATGTAATAGTCAAAAGCAGAGGCTCTGGGGTCGGTCTGCCACTTATAAGCTGTGTGACCCTGGGCTACTCACAACTTCTCTGAGCCTCCACTCTCCAGTGGTAAAATCATACCTACCTCCTAGAACTGCTGTGATTAAAAAGTAATGCATTAAAAAGTACTCAGCACAGTGGATGACATCTAGAGATACAGACACATAGAAACAGTAAAAAGATCAGTGGTTGCTAGGGAAGAGGGGGCAGGGAGAAGGGATGTATAAGTGAAGTATATGGGATTTTTAGGGTGGTGAAACTATTGTGAATACTGTAATGGTAGACACTTGACTTCTGCATTTGTCAAACCCATAGAACCATACCACACAAAGAGTGGACTCTAATGTCAACTATGGACTTTAGTTAATAATAATGTACCAAACTTGATTCATCAATGGTAACAAATGTACCACACTGATGCAAGATGTTAATATTAGGGGAAACAGGGTGGGGGGCGGAGCACGGGCAGAGAGTATAGGGAAATTCTCTATGCTATCTGTTCAATAAAATCTAAAAATAATGGGGCTGGCCCCGTGGCTTAGTGGTTAAGTGCGCATGCTCTGCTACTGGCAGCCCAGGGGTCGGATCCCAGGCGTGCACCGATGCACCGCTTCTCCAGCCATGCTGAGGCCGCGCCGCACATACAGCAACTAGAAGGATGTGCAGCTATGACATACAACTATCTACGGGGGCTTTGGGGAAAAAAAAGGAGGAGGATTGGCAATAGATGTTAGCTCAGAGCCGGTCTTCCTCAGCAAAAAGAGGAAGATCAGCACGGATGTTAGCTCAGGGCTGATCTTCCTCATACACAAAAAAATAAATAAATAAAATAAAAAAAATAATGTACATAAGGTAATGAGTGGCACATGTTAGATCCTCAGTTGTAAAAAGTGCTTAGTTAGCACAGTAAACCCTTACACAGAGTAAGGGCTCACTAAATCGTAGCTATTATTATTTTTTTACTACTGGTATTATTATTTGGCACCTTACCTACTGGATATATTAACGTTCTTTTAGGCCTTTTAGCCTCTTTAGCTAGAAAGTAAGTTTTCGTGAAAAAGAGATCCCGGTTCTCATTCTTCTGTATCCCCAAGAGTATCCCACGTGGTATCTGGTGAATGCCAGGCCCTCAAAATATATTTAATTGAATGACCAAGTCATTTCCTTAGTCATCCAGACCAAATGCTTTTGTAGAAAATGGCTCTACGGTGGGCTCTGGGAGCACAGACTATTTCTCTGCCTTGGCCACTGCTGTCTGGCTCCATCTGAGGGGTCACGTCAGTCCCTCATGTCGTCTGACTCTGCCTTGGAGAACAGCCGCTTTCCTGAAACGTTCCTGGGCCTCTGGAGTCTGTCGGTGGCTCTCCTGTCCTCGACGATGGGGTTACACTGCAGGTGGAACATCTGTTCAAGCGCCCACTGCTGGGTAAACTCGAAGGTTGTTTCTCTACCTCCCTATTGTAGGTATCGACCACAGCATTCCCTGGGTTGAGACCACTCGATTATGGGGAAAATGACTCAGACATAGAATTACATGTTTCAGGGTGGATATGATAGCCATTTTCCTTTTTGAAGTAAAAGCCTCTGAACATGTCACCTATGTAAATACACTTGCCCCTGCTGGATCCGTTTCTACGTAATACTTACAATTTGTTCTTGGTTTTGCGGTGAACTGGTGGCACCATTTAATAGCCATTGTAAGTTCTGTTCTCCCATGACTAGGCTGGACTGCAGGATAGCCGTGTTGGGAGTCGGGGTGATGGTTATAGTGGGATTATTCGTCAGGACAGAGTTGGCACCCAGGGGCAGAGTCTGGACCATGGCTGGCAGGGGCTCAGTAGTACTCTGTGGTTGGGGTGGTGCTGCCACGGCTGATGCCACTGCTGCTGCTGATGCAGAAGCCCCAGCAACAACAGAAAGTCCTGGTACGATGGGTTGAGGTGCCTGAGGGTGCGGAAGAAACTCTTGATGATTAGAAGCAAACTGTGTGCTGTGGAGAACAGGCACTTCTGGAGGTTGTAAGAGAGCAGGGGGGTTGCCAAATGCAGCTTGCTGGGAACCAGTTCCTAAGGAGGGAGCAGGCGGAGGAGCAGACGGTGCTGAGGCTGGTAGTAGAGGCTGGGGTGGCTCGGAGATGCCAGGCTGCAGTACAAGTGGAAGAGATAAAGATGCTGAATTTCCTGTGGATGGTGGAACATCACTGACTGACTCAGCATCACCATTAAAACTTTCAATCAAGGCAGCTGGTAAGAAAAAGAAATAGAAATATATATACATGTCCCAAGCCTTATATGAGCCACAAAAACACAGTCATTACGGGCTAAACCAAAGACAGCTGAAGTCTGTTAGAGCCAATTCCTTCACTGCTAGAAGGCTGGTTTTCTGCTTTTCATTCAATGACCCCTCTGGGCAAAGTCCCAGGCTTCACGATCAACCTCAGTTTCTACACGTGAAGAGCTAGTACAGGTCTGACCATAGAAAAATGTGTCTTAAGGCTTTTCTGGAAAAGAGACTGGACATCCTTTTTTGGCATGACCAGTGAACACACTGACTACTGTGAAGCTTTAGGGACAGATTTTCATTCAAACACAGTATGATCTATGCTTCTGATGCTCAGTCTGTGGATCCTACCCACTCACGGACAGGGTATCACTTCAGAAGAAGAGAGAGCTCACAACTCCTCTCATTTTTTAAAGCCAACAAGGGCTTTTGGAAAAGGAGACCCTCTTCCTTTGAGGGTCTAGGGAAAGTAGACCCTTAAGTAGACCCTTTTTGAGGGAAGTGGGGGAAAATACGGCCTTGAACTGAAAGGCCCATACTTTTCTGACTCCTCCCTGAATGTACACTTCACTCAAAGGAATGGAAATAACATTTCGCCGTGCCTGTCATTCAGCCTGTCAACAAGTGTGAATTCCCTTCCCCACTGCTGAGAGCTGAGCAGGAAGAGTCCATATAACAAACCTGTCTGTTGAGGATCTTCCTGAATGGCCGTATCATCTGAATTCTGGAACATTGATTCAAAGATGCTTGCTGGTGAAATTGTGCTGAGATCCTGGCCCTGTGTCTGAAGGACAGAGACAAAGATGTGAGACTCGCCATCCTGAGGCAGTTCTTCACCATGAGAGAACACGGTCAGAGCAGCAGAACTAGAATGATCTTTTGATATGCTTCTTGTTTCTAACTTCTTTTCCAAGGTGACATACATTTCCCTAAACCTCAGACACTGAAGATTTGGGCCCTCAAATACTATAAAACAGGAGCCGGCAAACGGTGACTTGCAGGCTGAATGTCTGTTTTTGTGACTAAAGCTTTCCTGGGACAGAGGCATGCTCATTCACTTACTGTCTAGGCTGCCTCCGCGGCTACAACGGCAGAGTTGAGGAGTTGTGACAGAGACCATATGGTCCACAGAGCCAAAAATATTTACTATCTGGCCCCTTCCAAAACAGTTTGCCAATCCCTACTCTAAATACCAAATCTTACATAAAAATGGGATTGTATAATATCCATTACCGGCAATTTGTATTTCTCATGTAATAATAATACATTGTGAATATCTTTCAAGGTCATTACATAACACCTATGATATTTTAATACACATGGTAACGAATCAAATAATATAAAGAAACTTATAATGATGGATAATAGTGATCACCTTATATTCACTCTTGTTTGTCACTGCAAATTTCTTTGTAACTTAAAATTAAGAAATGGTCAGAGGCATTTAAAAAAAGATAAAATGTGAAACCAAAAACAAAATTCATAATGCCCTGAGGGTCTGACTCCTGATGGGCACCAAATAAAACGACCCCTTCCTGGCTTCCCTTCAGTTGGGGGCGGAGGAATAGCGGTTCTCTTCTCTGCAGGCCACCTCCAGTCCACCTCCAGCCCTGCATTTTGTAGGGCAAGAGTGACGAGTGACTAGCCGCCTCCAGGAGTCCAGGCCAGTAACAGAAATAAGGGAAGCAAGGGAGGTGGGAACAGGGAGACTGGCGAACCAGAGAGCATGTGCCCCAGTCCTCTAAACGGCTTCAGTGGAGGCTGCCATGTGGCTATGCAAGCTAGGGGTTACCAGAGCTCAAGAACCATCCAAAAGTTGGATTTTTATGTGAAATCTTCTGATTCATAATTAAAATCAAGTTACTGATCTCGCTGTTTGCAGATGACATCATCTTATATATAGAAAACCCTAAAGAATCCATCAGAAAACTATTACAAATAATCAACAACTACAGCCAACTGGCAGGGTACAAAATCAACTTACAGAAATCAGTTGCATTTCTATATACCAACAACGAACTAACAGAAAGAGGACTCAAGAAGACAATCCCATTTACAATTGCAACAAAAAGAATAAAATATCTAGGAGTAAATTTAACCAAGGAAGTGAAAGACCTATACAATGAAAACTATAAGACATTACTGAGCAAAATCAATGATGACATAAAGAAATGGAAAAACATTCCATGCACTTGGATTGGAAGAATAAACATAGTTAAAATGTCCATACTACCTAAAGCACTCTACAGATTCAATGCAATCCCAATCAGAATCCCATGGACATTCTTCACAGAAATAGAACAAAGAATACTAACATTCACATGGGGCAACAAAAGACCCCGTATAGCTAAAGCAATCCTGAAAAAGAAGAACAAAGCTGGAGGCATCGCAATCCCTGACTTCAAAACATACTACAAAGCGATAGTAATTAAAACAGCATGGTACTGGTACAAAAACAGACACACAGATCAATGGAACAGAATTGAAAGTCCAGAAATAACACCTCATATCTATGGGCAGCTAATCTTCGATAAAGGAGCTAAGGACATACAGTGGAGAAAGGAAAGTCTCTTCAATAAATGGTGCTAGGAAAACTGGATAGCTACATGCAAAAGAATGAAAGTAGACCACCTTCTTTCGCCATACACAAAAATTAACTCAAAATGGATCAAAGACCTGAAGGTGAGACCTGAAACTATAAAACTCATAGAAGAAAATATAGGCAACACACTATTTGACGTTG